AGGGACTTCTGGTTTGACACCAGTGTGGCCTGCGCTCTTAAATATTTTTTTCCTCCCCTGGCACCCATCTCAACATTTCCAACATCTCTCAATTACTTATTCATTCTTCCTCACTCTTCTGCCACCCAGTGATGGATTACCAGTAATTTTATGGGTCTTCTGGAAAGAAAGAATTATTCCCATTTCATCTCTGATAAAGCTGCATGGCCACATAAACAAGTAGGTGCTGGAAAGGGCCAGGACTTGTACCCTGTTCATTTAGAACCAGGAACATTTCCTAACACACATAGCCAAGGGCAGCAGTCACAGTAGTGTTGACAGACCAACTTTCAGCTCACTGCAAATATTAAAGCTCAATTATGCATACACACATATATAGAGATCATTAAGTTCACATGCATAGAACTACACAGAAATTTATATACACACGTGGGTGTGTCTTCATAAATATTTATTTATCAGTACAGAGGAACTTAATGATCCCCATCTGGAAATGAGTGTCTGCACACACACACACATAATGAGTGTACTAAAATGATGCAGGGCTGTGAAGCAAAAAGGTTGTTCCTCTTAAAATAGGTTTGGAGAGATGCTTAGCACAGGAGATGAAGTGGCAGGGGTAACAATTATGAGTCAGAGCTGGAACAGCATAAAGCCCTTCTCTGGACCCATGACAACATCTTGTCTCTGATGTGAATGGTACAAACTAGTTTGGATATACCACAACTGACTAGAAGGGGAATACAGTGTGATTCCCCTGTTGGACAGCCTCAGACAAGTGACACACTGTGCCTATGGCTTGTCAATCCAGAAAATTTAGATCTGACCCATCTGAGCATGACATCATTAAGAGACACACTAGTTAACAGTGAGGGGTACAGCACAGAACTTAGGAACCTGCAGATTTCAAAAAGCCTAGTTCATTGTAGGCATTCATCTGAGAACATGTCTAAGCCACCACCCTTATGCATTTATTTTCCTGTGTGTTCTGCAGCCTTTTCCCCACATCTGCACCGAGCACCACAATGTACCTTGGTACAAAGCTCTGCACTAAAGGAGCTGAACTGATTCTCTTTTCAGATGAGAGAAGTGTCAAAGCAACAACAAAAGGAGCTGCAGAAGATGGTCAGCCAGGACTGGAGGAAGGACAGTGGTTAGGCAGCATTCAAGGCAGACCAGCTCACACAGTCTCATGATACTTCCCTGTGCATCACAAAACTACATTCTTAACTGAATCCCTCCAGCTTGTAAACAAACAACTAATTCTTGCAGCATTGTAGCCATAAAAAAATCATAGAATCATTTAGGTTGGAACAGACCTCTGCAAGACATCCTGTCCAACACCCCACTAAAGCAGCTCCCAATTCAGAGTACTCTTAGATATTCAGAATCTAATAAAGCTCCTTCATAAAGCAAATTATTGATGTTACCATACTGACAAGTTTTTTAGGAGTGTTTAGGACAAGCATACACAGCACAAAGCACAGAGATTCAGAAAGCCTAGGATACTCATAAAATAAAGACAGATATGGAAAAAGCTCACTTAATAGCTATGAAGTGGTACAAAATTGTGTGCTAAAAGGGTTGCTCCTTTCAGCAGCCCAGAGAGCCTCTCACAGCATGTGGCACAAAATGAAGGTTGGGAAAGTCATTCTACTGATATATTGATTTTAATAAAATAGTATTATGAAAATATTGTTAATAATGCAATATTTTAATAATAGTTGGAGTATAATGACTATGTATACACATTCCCCTCAGAATATTATTTTTTTAAAATGGGTGAACACAGAACACTTTGATGCTAATCTATGGAAGAAATTTTTTCTAACAGGAATCAGCTGAGACCACTAGATGTAGTATTCTGCATTTTCAGGGATGAGAGACAAACTTTTAAAAGCCACTAACCTACCCAGTTTGGCAGCACACAAATATGACCACAGCCTTGGCCTCTCTGCCTCAGTGCTGCTTCAAGTCTAAGAGCTCCCACTGACCCCATGATCAGTTTGGGATGCAAATCCCAGACTGTTGTGCTCCTCTCATCAGCTTCTTGTAATCTTTGGGGTTTCTACCTACAAACACGAATTCCATGCACCTCCAAACCACCATGTGTAATCTTTGTTCAGGGGTGGCAAGTAGCAATAGAAATACATTGATTTCTTCTCAGCCAAAGTTTACACAAGCTCAGCATTACCCTACACTGCCCTTATAAATGAGTTCACTAAAATTCTCATTGGGAGAAGCACCTAAGTGGTTTGTATAGAAATGGTTTGCATACAGCTTTATAAATAGCCTCTTTCCTCCTCAGTTCCTTTCATGCTGTGGATAGAAATTTCTCAAAACATTCATTGCAAGTGTCATGTGAAATTTCCTTGTATGGCTTTTACAGACTATTTAGAAGGGTTTTTAAAACTGCTAATGATGACAGTAATAATAAAGATAATAACAATAACAATAGCATTGGCAATAATAATGGTAATATGCCTGCAAAGATTTCAAAAGAAAAAGTTCTCAACAAACCTAGTACACAATATTCAGGAAGATAACTCACTTCCTACATTCTCCACCAGAAGACTACAGAGATATAAATAACAATAACATCAGATTTATAATGCATTTTTCATCTCAAAAGAAAACTGCATTGATTTATAAATCAAATGGCCTAAATCCACAGCTAGTTGCAACTGATTAGCTCCACTGATTTAATGAAGGTGCTGATGTGCACATTTATGTGAGTTCAGATCTATCTCTCTGCACGTGTGCATGTGTCTGCACGTGTGTGCAGCAGGAAAGTGACACACATTGCATGAAGAATTTCACAGAAAAACACCATATTAAACAACACAGAAAATTACACATTGTCATTGCATTTGCAGAAAAAAAAATGCTCAGAGTGAAGAGACCTGCAGGTTCTAATCTTTAGCTGGGAACTGGCATATGTGTTCTCCCAACAGGATGCTCGCAGCAGTCTCCTGAAAAGGCCCACAGGTATATCCTACGCTGTTCAGTTTTGCTCTTTGCAAAAACAGGACAATGTTTGCAGATAGCAAGGCAAGAGATGCACAGATATATTCTTCTACAAAACAAGGACCTTGCTTTTTTGAAAAAAGGAATAAAAAAAGAAGAAGAAAAAGTCAAAGCCAAGGCATTGTTTTGGAATAAAGGAAAAGCAAGCAATGCCACCGGAACTGGCACCACCTCTACTCTGATAAAATCTCAGTAGCTGTCTGCGACAGACACAGAGGCTGCCTTTTTGTGCTCCAGCACTGTTTGGGAATAAAGCAGAGGAGTGCTGCTGTGTAAAGCATAACCATAATTACTTAGCCTGTCCTTCCTAAGACAGCTTATCACAGGGGATATGGATGCGCTACACAGGAGTCAGCTACGCTTTCCTGAGCCCTCCAAGGCTACAGCACCAAACATTTCTTCTGCCACGGCATAGATGGCCCAGAAGCCAGTTCAAATGACCATTCATTAGAAGAGTAAAATATTATTTTCCCCCAGCTCCTCTCTTGCAGCTGAGCTCAGCTTCAAGTATAGGCGCATGGTCACTTCTGCTTGTGTAAAGCTGATGTAGAGCTGGTTTTGAAAGGCATAACAACACAAATCACACAACACAGTTGGAATACATTCAAATCAGTAGCAGAAATGTCTAAGACACACAGCTATTACCCTGTTCCAACTTCCTCAGAAACTGATGGCACTCAGTTTCTCACTACCTGTGACACCAGCAATGAGCTCCACCCACACATTTATGCTGTATAAGTATGCAGATGGACTGAAGCCTAGAAGAAAATAAACTTGACCTGAATCTCTTTTCTCTTGCAAGCAGTGAAAATGTGCAGGAACTTCAAGTGCAGATGAAGAAAAGCAGATTGACTGCAAGATGAAATTTATAATCAATGTCCTGCCCCTGAACTGGAGTGGTGCAACAGTGTGATCTGATGAGATTAACCAAAGGCACTTCTTCATGCCAGGGTAGGTATGCTTCACAGGCATGCCTCAGTCTAAGGCATCTTAGCCACCTTGCTTTCTGATGTTTTTCAGAAAGCTGTTTCAGCCAGTTCAAAGACACACAGGTAAGGAGGCATTTCTGAAACCAGTGCAGGCAGTGCATCTTGTCCTTGCTTTGTTCAGAGCCCCAGAGCACAGTGCTCTGATCTGCTCTGTGCAGAAGGTCAGATGACTACTTAAAAATGCCTTTGAACCTTAAAACTTTCCTTTCTTGGTTGTTAAACTCAAATCCTGGCCCGTTCTTGGGCCAACATCACTCCACTGGTTCCACCAGCCTTACCTCCAGCACCATCAGTGCCAGCCCAGGCTCTTCCTTCCATGGGATAGGTGAGCCATTCTACACCCCAGAACAGGAAGGTTATTCTGAGGTCATCTCTGCACATGCACAATGAGAACACTTTTATCTTGAGCTAAAACTGGATGTACAATGGCCCACAATGCAAGCAACAAGGTTGGGGTATATTCATACCCACCAGCAATCTCAAAAGACAGTCAAGTCACACAACTGGAGCAAGCACAGAACTGGCACGAGGTACAGCCATACAGATCTCTGACTTCTGAAGAGCACTGCAGTCCCTGGGCCTTCAGATCCAAGGAACGCAATCTCAGCAATAATTATGAGAAAGGACCTCTGGTTGTCACTAGATGCCACCTGACCAAGGCTACACCACTCTCCAGAGAAGTAGATCTGTCTACTGCTCTATGTGAACTCCCAGGCCTCAGCTTGGGACCATCTCTTCTTGCTATATCTCTTATCACTGCTGGAAAGAGCTTGGCTCCATCATCTATTTGCCACATGATGCAAGAACATGCCAGGCAGGCCTGTGGCCACCAGCAAAACCCACAAAACAGCACAATGCCTTCATGAAACACTGCATGTGCAGCTGCACAATGCTGCACTGCACATCATGAGGTTACCATGAACTTGGGGATCTCCATACACCCCTTCTGCCATCACAATTTAAAACTGGAGCTGCTATACTTACGTCACTATCTGGGTCTCTATGCCAGGGTCTACAAGGGATCCATCCACAAAAAGTGGTGTTGATGTGAAACTGTATTTAGTCCAGGATCTTCCTTCATCAAAACTCACCCTGGGATAGAAGCAGACAACATTTATACACATAAAAAGACTTACTCTAGAGCAAATGCAGCAATTAAATGTTGGCTTGCCTTGGTCTGCAAGCTCCAGCAGCTGGATTTACATACAAACACCAATCTTTGCCATTTCCCAGCCCACTAAATTCATGCTCCTGATACTTTGAAAGATCAAAGCTTTAGAAAGCATAAATACTGGCAATAAGTGCATGTATATACTTTATGCAGCTGTACATCAGACCTCAAGGGATCAAGAGGCTATGCCAAGACCTGTTTCTGGGTCTGGAATAGCACCTGGCATGAAGCACCACTCAGAGCATAAGCAACCCTGGCCTGAATGCATGAAAATTGCTTTCACCACCACAGGACATTTTGACCCATCCCTGTATCAATGCCATATGGCATTAGCTACAATCTCTCCTAGCCCTATGAGTACTTAAAGGCAGATTTAGCTTATTTGTAGGAGTGGGGAGTGTTGAATGTGTGTGTGCACACAGGCATCTGAGCACCTGGATCTGTCTGGGAGGCTCTTGGTGGACACTGAACCCCTCCTGCTCCAAGCAGGTAGGACAATATCTGACACACCACCAAAGGACCAGGAGGCCACTGTAGTGTGTATTATAAACCATGGGTTACACCAACCTCAGATCTCTGGTGTGGAAAGCCAAGATTGGCAGTCACCATTCCCTAACTCTCTGCCCCTCATGTCACTCAGCAAGACACCTTCACCTGTCTCAGAATGCACCTGTGCAAGAATAGGAACTTAACTTTACACCTAAGACAGAACTCTGGGAGCACAACAGCACACAGAAGGATTATCTTCCCTAAATCTATTTATTTAAATGCATGTATCTTCCCATACACCTGTGCATTTGTATGCGTTCTGCTTGCATGCTTATCTCTCCAAATAGCATTTCAACTTCTGGGGAACAGCATGCTTCATTAGCTTAGCTAAAGTTCTCTCAGCTTTTCAATTATCCGCCCCTCTTTTCTCCAGCATGAAACTTATTGTACAATGTCTCAGCCTGAGAACTAATGGATTTACATGCACCCTTTAATCTATTCCACTCCTGCCCATAAAACAGGTGCCTACTGAAGCAATATGAAGCAAATTCCAAAGCCCCTAAGGGTACAGTTTTGAAGGAAACCTGTAGGAACTTATTGATAAAAAATCTAAATCACTCCTCATTTAATAGAGTGGGTGGGGCACTCAGAACTGCACACACCATTTCAGGAGACTTATTGTGAAAGGAGAGCATCTGAAATGAGCCTCTGCAAACAAAGGTGAACTGAGCTGTCAGCTCCTATGAAAAGTCAACCTGTGACCAAATCTTTCCCAATATGTAAGTACAGGCACTTGTAGTAACATGCTTTTTATGCCTGAAGAGCTTTCAAAATTAAAGACACAATTAAAACAGTTGCACCTGGCTTGAATAATGCAGTAACTAATGGTTAATACGTGACTTGCAGCTTTTTCCTTAAGGGGCTCACCTTTCACTCTTCCAGAGCTCAACTTGCTGCAGTCTGATGCACTCACTGCCAGTGACACCCACCCTTGGCTAACACAAGCTTCTCCTTCCTTGACTGATCCTTGGTTTCATCTAAAAATTGGGACATAGTCCTGATGTCCTCTTTTCTGAGAGCACTTCAATTATAGCCATGACAACTGAGTTACCCACCAGAGGCTTCCAGTCACACCCCAACACATTCACAGCACTGGAGTCTGCAGCTCACCCTTTGGAGTCTGCCCTGTTACTGCTCTCCTCTGTGTGTCCAGTTATGGAGCCAATACATCCCATGGTTAACAGTCCACTATCACACTGTGAATAAAGCAGTCATTTCTTTGCTTCAGGTGGCAAAGAAATGGGCTCAAATGCAATATATTAAAACTTTTAAAGAAATCTATGTTGCATTCATCCCAGAGTTATCTGTCAGGTCAGAAACATTAGGTCCAGAAGCTTTTTATATTGAAAAAGTAGCTGTTAATGTCTTCAAAGTACATCTGCGGAACATGAGCTTGTAAATGGGTGAAGTCAACCTGTCTTGAGGTGTCCAGATTTGGAATGACTGCAATTTCACTGGAGGATTTTGTACAATAATGACTCAGGTAGAGGAGCCCTTAACACCTCATCACTGCTGCCAAACACCATTGCTTTCTCTTTCTATTTGACTGAAGAGCACATTTCTTGTTCTGCATGCAAAGTAATAGACATGTGCTTAGCACCATCAAGCTGAGAGACAACCCAATATTGTATACAGGAACACATCTTGTTTCTGAAATCTATTTCTAACTAATTCACTTCTAAACAACATAAGAAGCTGGGTGGGTCACTCCATTAGATATGCTCCTCTTTCAATCAAGCCCCAAGATTGAAGGTGGTACTAACACAGCCATTTTCTGTAAACAGTTTTAGTTATGAATTTTAGAATGTGTAACTGGTGCAGGAGTCAGAGGGGCAAGAGCTAAGAAGAGGATAATTTTGAGTGGTATCTTTAGTGCTTAAGCTGTTATAACCCATTTATAGCAAAACAGTGTCTTCAACTGAGAAATCATTTTGCCCTATTTCACCTCCAACTCTAATCAGTTGCCACCACAGTATCTCTGGAAATTGATAGTCAAATACTAGAGAGGTTAGCAACATATCTCTGTTGTCCTTATCTACACCTACTGCCCTCTCCTCTCCCTCCCTTTATCTGTCTTACCAGATTAATGTTAAATTCTGTAAACAAAATGTAGAAACAAGAGACACATCCTCTCAGAAATACCTGAAGCCCAAAGGATGACTTAGTATATGTGTGTCTGTAGGAAAGAAACCCCACCTGGAGGCTCATAGTACCTTAGCAGTGCAAAGAGTAATCGTAGGTGATTATGTATGGAGCCAGTATATTTATAAAATGGTGTAATAATCATAATATTCATCAAAAAAACCAAAATGGGGGTAAAACATAGATGACTTCACCTGCTCATTTTGTAGACACTGGTACCCTCTCAAAGTAACAAGTTTCCTTACCACATGTGCCGGATGGGCACTGACGTGTGTTTCATGGCCACTAGTGCCCCTCCCCAGTCCAGAAACCAAACGTTGTACTCCTCCTCAAAGATCTGCAAACAGAGGAAGTACTGCATGAGTGCTCCACTCCCCTGGGAAGTAAAGAGTCAGAAGAATAGCAAAAGGCTCCGTGCCTTCCTTTTCTGTGCAAAACATACCTGTCTCCAGGAATTGCCACCATCAGAAGAGATGAACACGCCAACCTCTGTGTAGGAGAGTTCAGAGCCAATATTGCCTGCAACACAAGTGTCAGACATGTGGATGAACACGCTAATGAAAATGTTAATTAAATTTCTGACATTTAATGCTGGAAAATTAGAAATTAAGATAGGTTGACACTCCCCTGTTACCATCACAGAATTCAACTAACCACATTATTGTGTCAATGCTATTTCAAAACAGTTCTGGCTCTGGGAGGCAGCACAACTCAAGAAGGGTGTTTTCATCAGTGTTCAGGATATAGGGAATATCATACTGTCCATCTACCTAATTTTCTTTCCTGACACCAGCAGGAGTCACCAACTGTTTTAGAGGAGGCTGTAAGGAAAACCTGATGTGGGCAACCATACAGAAGGTCAGTCTGTAGGGATATCCAGGTTCAAGAAGATAAATCTACTCTTTCGGTTCAAAGACCTTCTTAGCCCAGTATCTTATAATAAGTGAAAGTCCTCAAGAACTAGACACTGATTTAAAGGTAGCAGTGTAAGTTTTGTATCATTATATTTTAAACACCAAAATGGAAACTCCAAATTTTCAAACATGGATTTACAGATGGAGGCAAGGAAAGGGAGTAAAAAGGCAGTAATTTGGTTGGTATCACTTCATTCTGTCTTTCTGTGCAAAGCTGTTCCGTTATTTCCTTCATTCTCTTCCTCTAATTTCAGCTGCATGCATTTAAACCTCACAAAATGTAACTCCCAAACAAGTCAAGAGGATTTAGCAGCTGTAAAATTAGACAATAAAATATAATTCCTTCATTTGCAGGAATCTAACCTCTGTCCTGTACCAAGTGTCCAAGTTTCCAATCATTGCTGGAAATGCCTCAATGTAAATGAAGTGTTTGAGCAGCAAACATTTGTGAGAAAAAATTGCAAAGCCTATCCTTGAATACATTTAGCAACATGGTAAGATGCTCCTGCTGTTGAGAAACTGGTTAGTGGAAACAGAGGTGTATATTCCCAACAAGTAAGGTTTTTTCATCTACAAAGCAGTAAGGCAGAAATTATATTCTGCCTTTTAAAGGTTAATTGTTAGACTGGGAAAGCATTCATCCCATGCACTGGCAGTTTGAAAAGAACCTAATTTACTAACAATTTAGATCAATGCCTAGAATCTCACAGTCCTGCTGCCTCTATTTGCTTCCTAAAAGGTTAAAAAAAAAGAAAAAAGCTTTTGTAATTACAGCATCATGAGTAGGGCTTGTTCCTAAGCATCCATCTAGCAAGTGCAACCTGCCAGGAGTGATGACTCCACTTGGCTATGCATGGGGATGTCTGGAGGTTTGAACCAAATTATCTCACTTCATTTGGCCTGGATCAGTGAACTGGAAATCACATGGCATTTCCCTTGTTGAGATATAAATGTCATGAAGGGAACCCGTCTCAGGTTCTGCCTTAGTCTGGCAAACACACTGAAGCACAGAAGGACATGAGAATGAAAATGGTTGGAGGAGGTAGTGTAAATTCATGCAGACAATATGCAAACTGCCCACACTTGCAGGCCACTGCTATGCTGAACAGGACCAAGGAGATAAACAGAGCCTTAGAAAGAACAGTTAAGCTATTCAGACATATTTGAGGGTAGTTAAGAGGCTCCATTTGAAAAGACAGGAACTGCCTCCATTGCTCAGAGGCCAGCTTTCAATAGCACCAGCCATTCAGGAAGCACTTTGTTAGACAGCAGCTCCCACAGAGCTGAGGGTGGTTGGTAGCCCCATCCATCCAGTGGATTAATTACGGTGGCTCTGCCAGTGCCACCATGAAGTATTGTAGCAGGCTGTCATTTAAACAACACAACCTGCCAAAGCACTATTTTGCAGAACAGCCCACAACACCAATGGCCCATGCAGTGTTGATTAAATGCTGCTTATCTTGCAGCAGTACAGAGTTAAAAGTAGGTGCCATGCACAAGACAGGCACCCAGGAAGCCCAGGCTTCACCTGACAGGCTTTGTGACAACCCTGTGCTTGCTACTTGAAAGGTGGGACTTACTGACACCCCCTAGGAGTGCAGCCCTTGGGTACCAATCTCCTTCATGGGCCCTGCAGCAAACAGGCAGACATGTCCAGTGGTTGTAACAACATGAGAGGATCTAGTAATGCCACTGGCTAATGGCATCCTGGAAGTGTGGGCTTAGATCTACATGGTTTATTGTACAGCAACAAATACCTGAAATCTTTTTGAACTTGGGGCCATATGCCTTCTCCTAGCCCAAAGCAAATGGGAGTTAATGCGAATTAGCTCTTGCTGAAACAGAGCTGAAAGATTTTACACCAATGGGGAATACCTCATGTCTCAGGCTCTCAGAGAGGTATGGGTGAGCAGTGAGAAGCACTGATGTTCTCACCTGTGGCCACCAGCAGCCCAGGAGCTGTCTCTTTGCTGGAAATGCTCCCTGAAGTGTACGGGTTCTCTGAGAGCTGCAGGCGCAAGTGCAGTGAGCAGAAGGGCTGTTGACAGAAAACAAACAAAAGGCAGAAGCTTTAATATTCACCAAATTAAATATCAGAGGAACCCTTGGTGACTGCACACAGATGCTCTGATCCTTCTGAAAATGACCCCTTTGCTCTTAGCACACATAGGTCACATGTTCCTTTGATGGATAAGCAGGAACTCTGCACTACAAACAAGCATGTCTGCCCTTGCTTTAACAACAACCTGACTTAGAGTGGTTTTCCCCAGCAATTTTCTTATTCTGACTTGAATTCTATTAAATACATCAAGAAAGACGGTCAGAATTTGCCCTTAAAACCTATGAAGCTATAGATAAAGAAACTTACTGAATTCATTTAACACACAGAAAGTCAAGAGAGAAAACATGGGGAGTTTTGTTAATCTAGTGACTACAATAAGCAGCTCTGAAGGAGTCAGTTGTGCCTTGGAAAAGATCTGCCACTCACCAGCTGGCAAAGTACAGGATCCCCTCTTAGATCAGTGTCTGGTGCCTGTAGCAAACGCCAGTCTCTGCCTTTGTTGTAGGTAATGAAAGTCTTGATCTGGTCATCCACCTTCCTGTTAGCCAGGAATATGCCTTTGATCCCTGCTACCTAGGAAAAAGGGAGAGAGATGAAAAAAAATACATCGGAAGAACAGGCCAAAAGCAATGTCCACCTGAGCACTCCCAGGAGGGGAAAGCCTCTGTAAAAGCAAGGAAGGCATCTCAGTCAAATCTTAGAACATCAAATGGCACTAAAGGAATATCTTGCAAAGCTGAAAGGCCTTGTGTGGTTTCTCTCCTTGGAAGAAAAAGACAAGAATGGTCAAAGAGCAAATCCCTAGGAAACAGCCCACTTTTGGATTTCATTGAATTCTTGCAGATAGGCTGATGATGGGCTTGAAGGTGCAACATGCATCAGGTCACACTTGAGCTCTGTGAGCTTGAGAATGGGGTCTGTCCCACTGCCCCTACAGACTGCCAAAACAGGGGAGAAAGAAGATTACATCAGAAAAAGTGTGGAATCTTTTTGTGTACCAGAAAAAAAAAATCAATACAAAAGATGGGAATCCTGAACATGCTGTGACACTGATGTTTTGCAAACTTGATTTCTTTGCTTTCCTTCCACATCCAAATTCTGACAAATCAAGCCAGTTGTTTCAAATGTTTTGATTTTTGTCAGCAGAATCCATTCCAGCAGAATATGGTCCTGTCAAAACATCCCCAAAAAGATTTCATGTTGAGTCTGGTCTCTGTTGCACAGCTGTGAAAGTGAGACAGGAAGAAGAAATTTTCTGCAAATCTGCAACTTCCTGGCAACTGTCAGGATGCAAATCCTTCTACTCTGAAGCCCCTGGAGTGATACTACTCTTTAAATGACTCTGTAAAAATTTATTAGCATTTAACAGTGAAAAGTCTATGATATACCAGTGGGGAGTATGCAGGTTTGCCCAGGAATGTGAGACAATACATGTTAATTTTAGCTGGTTCATCATAGTAAAGAAATATAATTTTTCAGAGGCAGGAAAATATATTTTTCCAGTAGAAGAAAAAACATAAACCCTGTCCTTCACACTAATCAATGTGTTATTTGTGAGTTTTCCCTCATTGACTTATATCACCTGGATTTTTATAAACAAATTGATTATGTTGTTAAATGAGCATTATTTTGGCTGAAATAATAAAATGTATAGTCATAACCTCTGCATGCAGCTGCAAGAACTTTCTCTGTGTAACAGTAGTAATCAGCCTGCAACCATTTCTATTACTATTACTGATTAGTTGTTTGCTGCTGGCAAAGCACTGAGCCCTGCATCTCCGCAGATCTTCCACCCAACAAATAATAACACACCAAAACCAGAATGCTCTGAAGAAACCAGGAACTGGAACTGCTCTGAATGCACTGCTGCTGGCCAAGGCTGACAGGCTTGGAAGAAGCATGAGGATGGGAGACAGTTTGGGGTAGAAGTTGTCCATCTGTCATCTCTGGGCAAGTGGCACCTACAAATTTTTCGTTATAGTTTACAAACTGTTCAGTGCTCATGAAGGTGCAGTCCACACTCCCTAACTGTGAGCAGGTGTCTTTAGATGCCCAAGGGGAAAAAAAAGGTGTGTTTAGTCTTCCTATGGATATCCACATTAGGATGATAATGGTTTTCCCTTTTGGAAATTACACATAGCTAGCCAATCATTGACTTGAACCCAACCAGTTGTTGCACCTATAGCAGAATAACTGCATCTATTCCCACATGGGTCAGCTCAGCATCAAATCCAGGAAATGCCTCAGGGTGATCCTAAAACATATGAAAATCCTGGGAGGTTGGTAAGAGATTTACACTTGCTTGAACAAGCAGGCCATTGCTGCTGCTTGCAGGGTGACCTTTACTGCATACCTCATAAAGGTCAATGACAATATTCCCCTCCAGTCCTCGGCTGCTTTTCACATTTTCCAAGGCCAGGGTGAAGTAGACCCCTCGGGTGTCCGAGATGTACAGGTTATAGGTGTCATTCTGGTTCCACTCCTGAACAGCTGCAAACACCTGATTCTCATCTGTGCTGATAATGTGCATGTCCTGTTAAAAGAAGACAAAAGGCCTGTTACTGAGGATCTCTGTATTTCTCTGCCCTTCGGGACATGTAGTAATTACCATGAATTATGAAAGAATGGAGATGGAGCATGAATTATAGGTATGTTTAACAACTTTCTGTTAGAGCAAGCCAATAAATTACCAGCATTGTGACTTTTCTGCATTTCACTTTTTAAATAATCACCAGCTGGGCGAAGGGTTTTTGCTTTCTTCATTTTTGGTACCTTCAAGGAATTTCATCCAGTTTCATTTTTTATTTATAAATTGGTAAGTCAGTTTTATTACTCATGGAAGATTCACAGCCTTGGAGCCTGGAGTCTTCATAGTCACTAAGCATCATATGGCACCAGGCTAAAAGCAGTGATAATTTTCATTCTCATGCTGAAATAATGGGCTTGTGCTTCCAACTGACAAGGGATGGTATAAAAAAAACCTTGGAGTTCACATTTATTTGAAGGTGAGGTATAGGTATCAGTTTGAGCTACTGCTGACAGTGATTTTTAATAACATATTTTCCTATTGAGAGTTTATCTGAGATAATTATCCCACAATATAGGGGCTATCAAATATTCCACCCACTAACCTTTGTTGGATTTCTACTGCTGACCAAGATAAAAAAAGTCTAACAAGGGTTTCTCCCTTTAGTTTTTATATCAAAGAGATTTGATCATGTATTTCCTTGGTATTATTTTAAAACAGGTTCATGGAAATTGCTTTCAGGGTGGTGATGAGTATTGGAGCACTTCATCCTTGCTACCATTGTTGAAAAAACTGACACAGGTTCAGCTAGAAGCAAAATGACTGTGGTTATATGAGACTCCATTTATCTATTTGTACCTATTTAAATTTTCTCTAGAGGCCAAGAGGCCTTGATTAATTCCTTGCACTCTTTCTGCATCAAGAAATCATAATTCTGGAAGTGTCCCAAAGGATGGAGTGACCTGATTTCAGGAAAGAATATCTGGAGGAAGATCAGCTCAATATCCTCATCCTGCCTAGGAGGCATCTTAATCTTTTGTGTGAGGTATCTAGATGAAAAGTTAGGATTGATTAAATGGGGTTATTTCTAATAGACCTAACATATCCTATCGGCATGAGATGGGGAGAAAAACCATTTGAGAGCCTAATTCTATCCCAGTGAGTAAAATCAGTAGGAGATTTGCCATTTCCCTCAACAAAGGAAGACTAAATCAGGAGGTTTGTTCTTGCCCAGGAGCTGTAATTCCTTAAAGATTAAGGAGGTACCCAATCTATTCCAACAGTGTGAAAATAAAGCAAAATGCCCAATGACTTCCATCTGTTTTTGCCAGTTGCAGTGGAAATATTGCATTACCCTGGTGCCAGCCCCACACACGTACAACTCCAGCAGAGTTCATTAATCTGCACATGACAGATAGTTATTACTGTACAGCAAAAATATTCTAGTAACCAAGGGCAACATAAACAATCCTCCTTTACATGGCTCAAAGACTTTTCCATGACACCTAGCCTTAAAGTACTTCTGATCTTTAAATTACAAAAGTACCCCTGATTTTACAGCATGCACCAATTCTAAATCAGGGCCACCAACAAATCTGTGTTATAACAGGTCATTTTCCTAGTCCTGGTGGCAACAATATTTTTGATACAAAGACATCATTTGCCTTCTTAGCTACCTCAGGAGCTGCTGGCTCACGTTCAGCTGCTGTCAAGCAACACCCCCAGGTCCTTTTCCTCTGAGCCACTTTCCAGCCACTCTGTCCCCAGCCTGTAGCACTGCGTGGGGTTGTTGTGATCCAAGTGAAGGACCTGGCACTTGACTTTATGGAACCTCACATATTTGGCTTCCAAAGATATCACATGTCTATGTTCACAAATGGTGGACTCACCTTAGGAAGGGAGTATTTGGGTAATTTGATCTGTGCAAAGGGTTCCCGTCTGTATGACACATAGTAAGTTGCTCTTCCACCAGTTGTCACCTATGGAAACACCAAAGAAAGTCAGTGATGACCCTTCTGAGACACCCTGTGATGACACCTCTAAAAGTGCTTGACAAGCTTTCTTTCAGGTGTATTTTCTATGACAGGCACAGCTGTCCCTAAAGGCATCTGGGTAATGCCAAAGAAATCACAAATCTGAGAGGGATGAATTATTTAAGCTGTGCTATTGAACTTTCCATTTTGTCTCTTATGATTCAAATCCAGTGTGATTTTAAAATCTCAGAAAAAAAAGTGCTGAGTGGGAGGACAAGGAGGATCTGGTTTCATCACGTGGTCCAGCTCAGTTACCTTGGGCAAGTAATTTAAAGTCTCTGTGCTTCTGTTCTTCCCCTGTAAGTAGGAGATAATCCCTCTTTGCTGCTTCTCAGCCTTGTCTGCACTGTAAGTCCCTTGAGGCCAGGATTTTCCAACAACCTTTTACAGTGACTAGCAGCAGAGATCCACACTAGCACCATTCACTGCTAACTGCAAATGTGCTCTTGGAAAGCTGGAGCTAAGCTCTGAGATGCCCTTTGTCACTATGAAACTGGTTTCTCTGAAATTATACTCTCTGAAAATGGATGTGCGTGGGGGGGAACTGATAGACATCCAAATCTGCAGTTTTATGGACTGAATGAACTAAAGCCTATGCAAAAATGCCATGCATCAATGAGATCTAACACGATAATTTGTAAAATATGGGCTCTAAAACCTGTCAGGAGTCACTTACTCTTGCTGTAGGTGTTCTTTCTGGCACCACCTCAGACCTGGCTAACACAAGGCTTACATCAGTGAATTTCCTACATTTTGATGGTTTGGCAGTCTTGCAGGTCTTAAGATAAAATAATGCACAAAGCACTTGTCTATTGTACAGAATATCACTTGTTGGCTTCCAATGAAGCTAAGAGAAAGGTCCTAGATTCTCTCCTAGATATACTTCCTTTATCTGACAGTGATATTTGAGAATGAGTTTACATAGAACATTGCTACAGCATCGATTGTATTCTCAGCAATGATATCACCTCTAGATAGTGGCTTTCTTCCCTGGAGGAGCTGTCATTTGAAGGACACGCTATCATTGGTCATGAAATTTGATATCTAATAAACTCAAGGCTTTTCCATTGACAGTTTGAAAAACTGGAAAAAAAGGGAGCTTTAGAAGTAGGATCAGCTTCTACACTAAGATTTCCCCTTCAGATTTTTTCCCATTTTTACTTGTAATGTCAAAAAAACTGTACTTAGCACCCTCCAGAGAAAAAAACAAAACCAGCCACTATTATAGCACACACGGCATAAGGTCATAAGAATGGCCTATGTGACAGCAAATAAACTCTATACAGATAACATTTAGCTAAAGCCAAGGGTAAACACAAACAGGAAAATCTAAAGCAACTTGTCTGAGGACCCAGAATAGGCCAATAGCAGAGACAGGGAGAAAACAGCAGTCACTGGACTCTCACTTCATGGAAAGTGCACTGTGTACTCACAGAGCAGTGACCATTTCAGGGTCCTGCTCTGAGTTGAATCACACAATGGTCTTGGTTGGGCCCTAAAGATCATCCAGTTCTTCCATGTATCTAATCTAATTCTACGCTCTTTCAGTTCAAAGCCATTCCTCCTTGTCCTGACACTCCATGCCCTTGTCCAAAGTCCCTCTCCAGCTCTCTTACAGCCACTTTAGGTACTGGAAGGTGCCCTAATATCTCCCTGCAGCCTCCTCTTCTGCAGGCTGAATAAGGTCAGTGAGTGCTACTTCTGACAGATATATTTCCCATTTATTACTTTCACATCAAAATAAAATTTTCACAGGAGAGAACAGACTGTGCAGTTGATTCATACTGAGTCCAGCTGAAAGGCAAAATTCATGTTTGCAGTAATTTTATATCTCTCAACTCCACAAGCACTACTCAAAGGATTCCCACACTTCTAGATATTGTCTAAATAGCACAGGGAATATTTAAATATCCCCTCTTCACTTTTAATATTTATGGCCTCCATTGGAAAACTGAAATTCTCAATTCTCACATGAACTGAATATGTCCAGTGACTACTTGCTAAGAACCCTGCATTCAATATCCACATTTTCTGATGGGCTGAGACATGGTCTTCAACTTGTAGATGAGGACATGAATATTTGCACACTTTGTAAATGCTGTGATGACCAATTAAGATTGGGAACAGTCCAACAACCTTCCAGTTAATCCAGTGAAAACAAAGTGGCAAAAATATCAAGGGGTGATCAACTTCCACTTTCTGTGCCACAACAGGTTCTACTGCAAGTCTGCCACACTCAAAAGGTTTTAAACCATTATTTTCGCTTTATCTCACTGAAAACTGGTACCTGGAGGGGGTTTGTTTGAATTACTTGTTTGTTTCGTTGGCGTTTAAATGCAGAAAGTTAGGATTAAAACACTGTTAAAGTTCAGTATGCAATAGTTAAACTCCCTTCCAGGCTTCCACCTGGACTAGGTCACCTTGACAAGGTTTAGAAATAGAAATATTTGAGGTTTGTGGTCTTCCTGAGCCAGTTAATATGAAGCCACCCACAATTCTGTTGGCAGGAGCTGTGTAAGCTTTTCCCAGCCAGGGTCTCATCTTTGCATGATTTACATGCACAGTTATAACAGTTCCAAAAAAATGATCAAGCCTCCAATAAAGTTTTGGCAAGCACCGTGGTACAGAATGAATTTTGGAAGGCCCAACTTAATTTATTTTGATGAAATTTTCCTTTTCCTATGAGCAAATGCTCCAACACTGTAAATCCCAGAGATTATGGCAGTGTTTTGCCCTCCAATGCCTCCTTTCAGTTCACATTTGATGAATGTCACCCAATTATTTGCTGTGAGCTCATCTGTCATGCTCAGTACAGAATTAGCTGGGTTTGTCTTTTTCTTCTTCCATCGTAATGACTGGATCATTAATCTGTTTTTCTGGATTTCTACTTTATGTGTTTAATTGGGCTTCTGGCCAGTAGAAATTATTCCCATGGACAAATGTGTTTGTCATTAAACACATCTGTCTTTCCTAATCTGTGTTCTTTTTTCCTCCCTCCACTCATGAGCTACTACTTTTCTTTAATGTTTCCACATTCATGACAAAAGTCTCATCTAATTTATATCAGCTGGCACTTAAGAAGAAAACATGAGAAATTTCTCTTTCAAAGCCCTGAAAGTCTGGATATGCTGGCTCATTCCCCTTCCTGACCTGTAATGAGACAGAGTGCATCAATTGCATCAAACATAGAAGAAAACAAACACGCTCATAAGACTGCAGAAAATTACATAAAATTTCTCATGGAATCTGTTTATCTCAGTAAGTTCTGTGACATGTCTAGGAACACACAAAGCCATTTCTCATGTTAATGATTGAATAAGATTGTTTAAGAACAAGCTTTTCAGCTTGCGTCCTTTTATTTTTTTTTTCTTTAGATTGAAGTTCATTTTAGGCAAAAACATCTGTTTATCTAAAAGAGTTTGGAAGGCAAGCAGAATGAGTTAAAAGGTCTCAGACTGTAAAGAAGCCCTAGATGATGTGAGGAATTGTAGATCACTCTGTATGAGGCTTCTTTATCATCTTCCTGGCTGGCTAATGCTGAGACTCATAATTTCCAATGTAAGGCAGATATTGATGGAACAGAGAGGAAATTAGTAAATCTCAGAAAGGCTCCTGGGCTAAGGAGGACCCCATCTGCCTCCTACTGCTCAAAGAATTTGCAGGAAAGCGAGCAAAAATTTCACAGAAACAAATTTTACACTTCTTGTTGATACTAAGTTCTTACTAGTATATAGTTGATGTTATTTTCAATAAACCTCTCCCTTGTTCTCCAAGGTGATTGCCCTGCTTGTGGAGTTCCCCTCCTTTCCAATAACATCAAATGAGCTGGTATCAGTGTTGTAGCAGCATCCTGTTCTCCACCTCCATAGGGAGCCCTGGCATCCCTTTACATTGCTTTAACTTTAGGTTCCCTTTCTCCTTCTTGCGAGCATAAAATCCCCCAAATCAAACTGTGGATTAAAGCACAGAAGAGTCATGGCAAGTTCAGCAGGCAGGCTGCTCCACTTACCACGGGATTTTGGGGTTCTACAGAGACAGCCCTGCCTAGGCCCTGCACAGGTTTGTTGGTATGAGGATTGAAAAGCTGTGCCTCCTCTCCCAAGCCTAACCACAATTCCAGTCACACGAGGTTCAGAGGATGAGGAAGAACATGAACGTAGTGTAATGCCCTTCCTTCTTGATTACCCACCATGACCAGGAAAAGCAATCTTCCAGATATTTTTGTGTAGTGAGGTTCTCCACTGCCTTAGCATAAATCCCATCATGACAGGTACCATCTAGTCTGAATTATCTGCCTGTGATTTTCATTAACATCATGCCTTCTGCACAGTAATTGAACAATATGCAATTACCTGAGTGTCTGTGCATAAAGCACCCTCAAGTTGCCTGGTAAATTCAGCAGGCTTAGAAAACATGACACTCTTTAGAGCACCACACCCATCAGAGAAAAACTGCTGTGACAAAGCAGCATTTATTATACTGGCCCAGTCCCTGTTCAGCTTCCTCTCCCCTCAGAGCAAAGATGACACAGCTAAAGGACAGAGTAATCTCAAGTATTGCATTTGTTTTAAAAGCAACTCCTGCAGAAAATGTGCAGTTACACCAAAACACAAGCCACATCCGAGCTGCAGGTGCACATCACCCACACAGAAATCAACTTATGAGAAGAGCATAATTGTACACATTAACCCTCCTTTTGATTTCAGAGGAAACATATGAGTTTGCCAAAGCAATACTTTACATCTTCAGATGATCAATCAGACAGCATGATGGGAGGGGAGAGAGTGATAAAAGAAAGTACATCACAAAAAGCCCTAGAAGGAAAATCAATAAAAAATAAATAAATAAAGGAAAATGTTAATTTTTTTTTTTTATCAAGAGATGGTTAGGCTCAAGTTCCAAATGTGATATTTGGCACAGAAAAAATGAAACTGTGCTAGAAATGG